TGCACAATATTGGATTTTTGCCGATATCCGATATGCCGGTATTTTTCAACTAATTTTGGCCGATAGCCGATGCCGATACCAATATATTTCCTTTTGTTTGGAAACAACACCAAGTCTCTTCTGTGTGGAAATTATAAGCAAATTATTTTTAATTTTGGTTAGTTTTTAACAAGAACTTCTTTGTTAGAATTAAATAAACAATAATGAAATTCTTTTATAATGACAGTACATTGAAGCTTTGAAAATAACTATAAAATAAACTATATATCAATCGCTGCATTTTTTTTTTTAGAAAGATGCAGTAGTAACCTTAACATTTTATTTTAAGATTTAACGTTTGTAGATGGTCTAAAGCAAGAGTTGTAAAAATTCAGAAAATCTTTTAGAGCTCATAATATGTTTAAAAAATATAACATATTACACATTAATGAATAAATCAGTATATATAAAATTATTTAATTTACAAGTGTCATGTTTGTGATTTAAAAAAAAATATTATTCATGTAAGCTATGGCTTCTGACCTTTAAATAAAAACATACTCATGATTTTATGACATCAATTACTGTGTTATTTAATCAGAAACACAGTCTAAATGTTATTTGTGTATTTTCTTTCATTTTATTAGAAGTAGGCCAACAAAATAAACTCCTTACCGAACGGGTATTAGGAGCCGGGGGAGGCTGCCGCTGCACGTGCTATTACGGTTTACTCTATCATACACCAAGCGCGTCATTCTGTACAGTATGTGCATTCTCAGTTTAAATGCAGCGATCCAAAACAGTGAATCTAATCACCATTCAGGCAAACCTTTGCTTCAAGAATGAGCCACACTGTTGACGTGATCTAATCGCTAGCACATCTGAGCACATGTGAGTTAAGGTATTCCTCTTATTGGCAAGACATATCGGCATAATTTTTCATATCAGGCCGATGCCGCTATTTACATTTAAAGTCATTATCTGCCGATTCCGATATAGGTCCGATAATATCGTGCATCCCTAGTTAAAATATCATGTTATCTGGGTGTGTGTTTGTAAGTGTGTTTACAGTGGGGTCCAAAAGTCCATATTAAAAAACTAAAGTTTCCATACTAAAATACTTTATGTAAAGAATGGATTTTCCAATTATAAAAATAATTTGTGGTTTTGCTCCAAAATGAAAATAGACTTCACAGCAAACAATCAACCTCTTACTAAACCCACCCTCCCATTCTCTATCTCTCTCTCTCTCTCTTTCTCTCTCTCTCTCTGTGTCTGATGTTGCCTGTGTAATTAAGAGATCACTGTTCTGTTTGATATAAAGTAGCTCACTGTTAAATTAAAAACAGGCCATTTTAATTATAGTCTCTCTTCCCTTAATTATTTTGTGTTTTTCCCTCTAACTCTGTATAATAGACCCCTCACTCTCACTCTCTCTTTTTCTTTCTGTCTCTCTTTATTCTCTTTTCCACACAAACACAGAAAGGGAGAGCTGGAGCACTGCGTCCTTTTCGGTAAAAAAAAATCTCTTGACGGTAAAGTGAGAGAATGTATACTCGCACACACTCATAAACAGCCTTTTACTTGATCTAATATGTGATGATTAGCTTTTTCAGTTAGCTGGGTCAGACCACATTAAGATAATTACAATTGTAAAAGAACAATGTGGCTTTACTATGGCAGCAAAGGGCACACACATATGTGGATAATTGCAACACACATCGACACACAATCATAAAAGACCAGAGCCCAGAACAGCTGTATGTTATGATGACAATGCTCGGGAATAAATAGAAAATGGATGGATAGACTGAACGATGGAGCTTTTGACGTGTGAATAAATGGAGGAAGAGAGCAGCAATTATCTCTGCTCAGAGAGTAAGATAACCTCCTGTGAAATGATCATACAGTTTAGAGGTATATTTCTGGCTGTGGGGGTTTAAAAGTCTACAAGTCTTCTGTCCTCTGAGATTGAAGCAAACTGCTGCTTTACTCCAGCTGACCTACATAATCTTGTGTAAGGCTCAACAAAAGAAGCTGAGAGGTTAAACTCATCCTCACTCACTGAATTGAACATAAATCAAGCATTTTTTAAATATTCTGCATGTTAGCAATGCATATCAAAGGTTTAGAACTCTAGGTTTTTGAATATGAAATATGAAATGTTCCATCCCTCTGTTAAATGACTCAAGACAAGATTTTGTTTATATATAGATCATAAATAGTTTATATATTTTATCGTTTTTATTTCATAATTGGACTTTTGCACAAATACTATAAAAATATTTTAGTATATAATATTTGTTTTATAATTTTTTACACATTAATGGTTTGGCAGCAACAATATAGCAGTAGTTTGGTGATGGTTTATCATTTTGGTAACTTGGTATTGATTCCAGTATTTGGGGCTTATTTGGCCCTAGTTTGGCTTACAGTCTGTGAGTCAGAACAGCCGGCATTGTAGTCTACTCTTCCAGTATGAGGAAACAGCCTTCCATAAAATGCGCTGGACACATCTGAATATTTGAGTTGAACTCCCATTACGTCTGGCGTAAAAGTAACACTGCATTTCAGAAAAAGAACATCATAGCAACAGTAAAATATGGTGGTGGTAGTGTGATGGTCTGGGGCTGTTTTGCTGCTTCAGGACCTGGAAGACTTGCTGTGATAAATGGAACCATGAATTCTGCTGTTTACCAAAAAATCCTGAAGGAGAATGTCCGGCCATCTGTTCGTGACCTCAAGCTGAAGCGAACTTGGGTTCTGCAGCAGGACAATGATCCAAAACACACCAGCAAGTCCACCTCTGAATGGCTGAAGAAAAACAAAATGAAGACTTTGGAGTGGCCTAGTCAAAGTCCTGAGCTGAATCCTATTGAGATGCTGTGGCATGACCTTAAAAAGGCGGTTCATGCTCGAAAACCCTCCAATGTGGCTGATTTACAACAATTCTGCATAGATGAGTGGACAAATTCCTCCACAGCGCTGTAACAGACTCATTGCAAGTTATCGCAAACGCTTGATTGCAGTTGTTGCTGCTAAGGGTGGCCGAACCAGTTATTAGGTTTAGGGGGCATACACTTTTTCACACAGGGCCATGTAGTTTTGGATTTTGTTTTCCCTTAATAATAAAAACCTTCATTTAAAAACTGCATGTTGTGTTTGTGTGTGTTATCTTTTACTAATATTTAAATTGGTTTGATGATCTGAAACATTAAAGTGTGACAAACATGCAAAAAAATAAGAAATCAGGAAGGGGCCAACACTTTTTCACACCACTGTATATATATATATATATACACACACACACACACACACCCTTGACACATATCTGCTGTGCGATTCTAATGAGGAAGTTCTTGTGATTATTTCCTGAACTTCTGAATGTTGTTTGCTCATAAAAGTAACCTAGACTGACATGGGAGAATCAATTATTCTGTTGGACCACTAGTAATCTTGGAAACTCTGCTACAAAGCATTAAATGCTCTTCCTCTCCCTTTCTTTCTCTCTCTCAGTTCCTCCCTCGCGCTCGTGCTGGTGTTCCACTGACCCATATTCCTCTGGTAGTTCTTTGAAGCTACAGAGCCACAGTCAGCTTCCAAATCAAAGTAGCACCGACATCAAAAAGCCCAGTGATAAAGCAAAACACAAAAGAAATTACAGAGACAAAAACAAGAAAGAAAGAAAGTATTGTTGTTTTTTTGTTGTTGATCTTATTATATACCCAATGACTCATGATGAACTTAAAATTCCATCCAGTGTTATCAAAAGACTTTAATTAGACTGCATTACTTTTGGATTTATAATAATTAGCAGAGTTTTGGAGCTACTTTTGCATGAACATCGTGACAAGTAAAACCATTAAAGTGTTAAGAATAATGCACAGCAATTACATCTATTTGGTGAGTACATGCACCGAGCCGGTATAGCCACACAGCTGACATGTTTCAGGCTCAGCTGCTCTTCTGCCCAGCGGCCATGTTGGACGAAGGGTCTGATGGAAGATTCTGTGTTTGCCATGGCAACCGATATTGTGTCCTGATACAGGCATTCCAGCATCACACATTATTTCTGCTTTAGCTGATGTTCCCTAAATGTATTTATGAACGGTTTTATGTTGACAGAAGTTTTATCATATAAAAAGTCTGCAGTGCTTTGTTTAATGTCACTGATTTGTTTAATGTGTATTTATTTTATTAATTAAATGCAAATTTCTGAAAAGTCCCTTTATTTTATTTTAAACATCAGTAAACTATATCATATAGCATAATTTCAGCTCCTGACACTGCTGCAACAGACCCAGTTTCACCTTTTGCTGCATCAGTGGAATATGTGAGAAAACTACTTCCAAAATAGAGCAGGAGGTAGAGCATGTGTGCCTTCAAAAGGTATAGCCCTGTGCTCAGTTTCTTGTGCATTTGAGCATTGCCACATATATTAAGTCTGGACTTATTGCAGTCACCTCCAACAACCACCATGGTCACTGTTAAATTGTCACATTAATTTTTTTTTCAGGCATTTTGCATTGTGCTGTACTCATCTGTAGTACTTAAATAATGTACCATATATTTTTTTTCCCTGCTAATTGCTCTTTTGTGATTCTGTTTCTTTGTACTCCCCAACATAATCACTTTTTCCACAATGCGTGTATACTTTCCAGTCTTGTTTAATAAGGATTTGTCTGTTTCATCCCAAAATACTCTTAACTTTCAACACTTATTTAATAATAATAATTCTTATTATTAATGTTATTATTTATTGATTATTTAAATTCTTAATTTATTTGATTAACTCGGGCACCACAACGAGTTGTATCATCTTGCAGGAAATTGTTTAATTTAAGGCAGCTATGAGGCAAATGTGCATATGCGAAAGGCGACCGTCAGGTCCACACGAGCTGACAGCGGCATGACGTTCACCAAAACAAAAGAGCGGATCGTCAATGAAAATGGTTTTTAAATGATTGTTGTCGACTATTATGTTCGAGTGCGTTCCTGGCATTTGTCATTGTCTTTTCTCTGGCGTGTGTGTGTGAGGCTGCGGGCGGTTACTGATGTCGTTGGCTGAGTATTGAGCTCCCATCTGACCTACTTTCGTACTTCGCATCAGCTCAGCGCTGTTTACAGGCGCTCGTGAGCGGAGGATGTGGACCCGGTAGCGAAAACACGTAGCCGAAACGCCGAGTCGCGTGCTCTCCTCTGCCGCTTTATCCTGGGATCCTTCAGTTAGTGTGTTTTGTGCATATTTCGTCCCGTGTCCGACTTCAGAGTGGCTCTTTCGTGGGTTGTTTATGGTGAAGTCGAGCTCACTCGTGACTTCAATATGAGAGGCGCGGACGAAGGCAAAAGTGAAGTGTGGACCTGTCCTTAACGCACGGTAAGATATCTCGTATTGTAATGCAAATGAGAAAGTACAACAATTAAAGTCTGCGGAGCTATTTTGAACGCATTTAAAGATCGCTCGTTTGGCTCTTCTTCGCTTTTTCTTGGTATATGGGGAAATCGTAAGTCATAGAGTTGCGAATATTAAGATTGATGTGTGAGGGTCGCGTGGAATCGCCGGGTTCTCTGATGTTACCTCGCGCTTTTCCTCACTTTAATCTTTTTATCCCAGGCGCGGTGGATTGTGTGAGCTCACAACCAAACACATTCAGTCCAGTTTTGGACAATGGAATTATGGTAATGAAAGCTTATTAATATTTTGTCTGTGGCTTTTGCTGGTTTGACTGTCTTGACTCTTGATCTGAAATCTTGGAATGCAGTCAAAATGGGTCACTGTACAATGCGCTGAAACCAGTAGGCTATCTCCAGCAGCATAAAACCTGCCTGCTTGGACGATATGTCACTTAATGTTGGGCTATTGAGACTTGAAAAATGACTTGAATCCATTTGCACTTGTGAGAAATTCATAAGAGCTCCTGTCTGACTTAATTACACGGTACAAATGTTTTCATCATTATGTTGTGGCAGCGTAGTTTCCATCCACTTGTCACTTTAATTTCTATCTTAATCAGTTTCTTTATTCAAAGTGGTTGAGAAGGTGCATAAACGAACCTCAGGTAGTTCGTTTTTAAACATGTAAGAAAATCAAACTGAGTCGTTTGATTGATTTTTTTTTTTTTTGGAGCTGATTCGTGGCCTTTGACTCCTTCTGGGCTGGAATTGCGTGTTTGGGTTCTATTTGTTGTGGTTCAGGAAATTATGTGGACTGCAAGTAACAATTAAGGGTGGCTTCCGCATAACGTGCTCATGTACTTTTTTGAATCGAGACTTTAAGTTAAATTTATATGAATGTATAAAGCAGTTAGGTTGAAATAATTAGATTAGTCAGAAAGTCTTCAAATAGACAGAAGTCGCGTTTTGTCTGAGGAAGTAACCAACAGTAGCCTACGCTGCTTTCCATTTGCGAACATTAATGAAGTTATGACAAAAAACTACTGTTATTATGTATCACTTCATTACAAGTGTACATACCATATTGTTAATGTACTTTATTATGCATATAGTTTTTTAGCTTCATGTTAATTGTATAAAATATTTAGAATAGTTATAAAAGACTAAGGATTTGAAACAAAATGCTGCTTAAATAGTTTTTGATGAAATTTATTCATTAAGCAATATCCAGAACGACTTTTAAATGTGGAATATTGCCAGCTCTTTTTTATAAGAACCAACATTATCTGGAGTACACAATATGTCAATTGTGATGCATGAGAGCAGAAGTGAAATAAAAGAACAGAAAGGGAGAATACGATTTTTTTTAGGATGTTGTGTCTTTGTTTTTGGTTGTGTTTTAGTTAAATGGATAGTTCACCCAAAAATGAAAATACTTCAGTAATTTAATCACCCTCATTTTGTTCCAAACCTGTTTGACTTTTTTTTTCTGTGGAACATAAAAAGATATTTTGAGCAATCTCTCTCTCTCTCTCTCTGTCTCTCTCTCTCTCTCTCTCTGTCTATAGAATGGAAGTCAATGTTCACCAAATCATGACAGAATTTTCCTTTTTGGGTGAACTATCCCTTTAAGTGATGGTTGTGGGTTAGTTTCGCCCTAACCCTAACCCTTCCCAAAAGTATTCCATGTTATTTGGCAAGTGCAAGCATGCGAAAATCTGTAAGTTCTTATAATATCACGTATGAAGTTCGTTGGACGTTCATGTGATGGTGGAGACGTGTGAATGGTTTTAAACTTGTGCAGTGTGTAGATTTGTATTGGGGCCTGCACCTAGGCCCCTTTGTTAATGGTGTTTGTGTGTGCTGCTGTATAGTGGGCCCCTGGTTAAAGGTGGGCTCTTGGCTTCATGGTAATACTGTAAACAGTAAGTGATGCAATAATTCCCCCACCTCTCTCAGGGGGGTCAGGCTGTTCGCCTCCTGGAAATCACTCTTTGTTGTTCTCTCACTGTACTTATCTGTTTTCCTCTCTCTTGCCCTGGTCAGTAGCATATTGTTACTAATTACAGTTTGCATAGATATTTCTGTCATTTCTGTGTGTACTGCACATATTGCACTGAGAGACAAATTAAACTGTTTAATAAAGCACAGAAGGATACTTGATCCTCATTGCTTTTTCCTGACCTTTCCTCTCTATGTTGGTGTGTTTTTGTTTGTGAGTGAGTGTGTGTGATTATGGAAGAATGAGGTGCACTTGAAATATTCACCTGGCTGATGAAGGCAGCATCTACAGTAAATGCAGGGACAACACAGCTGCATGAATCATCCCAACAGTGAATCAGCACTCCACAAGATCCACAGTGCTGTTGTCTGTGTCAGTTTTTACATGGAAAACATGTATGCATTTTTCTATGCATTCTGAATAATGAATAATTACAATTAATTAATTTGTTAGTTAGTTAGTTATATACTAACCCACATATTTGTATTAATTGTCAGCCCAAATGTACAGATGCACATGGCAGATAACACACTGTCTTTCATATTGTCAGTGAGAGTTTTTGGAATGTTTTTGAAAGAAGTCTCCTATGCTCACCAAGGCTGCCTTATTTATTTATTGGTCAGAAATAAAGTAAAACAGTAATATTGTGAAATATTATGACAATTTAAAATAACAGTTTTCTATTTGAATATACAGTAGTCAACATTTGAAGTGGATCAAAACCTTTCATCAAAGTTGTCCTAAAACCAAAACAATGCCCGTTCTTGTCTTAGGACAACTTTGATGAACTTTTTTGATCCACTTCAAATGTTGACTACTGTATTTTTAAATATAACTTATTATGGCAAAGCTGAATATTCAGCAGCCATTACTCCAGTATTTAGTGTCACATGATCCATCAGAAATCATTCTAATTTGCTGATTTGGTGCTCAGGTAAAATTTCTTATTATTGTCAATATTGAAAACAATTGTGTTGCTTAATATTTTTGTGGAAACTGTAATACATTATTTTTCAGGATTCTTTGATGAATGGAAAGTTCAATAGAACATTTATTTAAAAGATCATTTATTTAAAAATTAATATTTTATAAAAGTATACATGTATTTACTTTAGTATTCTTTTCTTTAAAAAAAATTTTCTGACCCCAAACTCTTGAACGGTAGTGTATATCTACGTGAAGCTTTTAAGCTTTTAACTATAACGTCCAGGCTTGTATATATAATGGGCCACATTCATGAAGCACAAGCAGAACGAATTTCTGTCAATGTCATTCATACAACTATGCATAAATTTGCACTCAATTCAGTATAAGAAATTAGTTCTGCTTGTGTTTCATGAATGAGGCCAGAACACACATCTCTGGGCTAACATCGCAGTAACACTGCATCAACATTGTGCTAAAACTGTGTGTGTTTTCCTGTTGCTGCTGTAACATTCTCGAGTGATTCCACCCCTTCCGGAATACTGCAGGGGCCCCTATCAGCTTCCACCACTGAGTGTGACCCTTGACCTCTTTCTGAACCCAACAGCTACTTTTACACACTCCCATGTCTGATGTGTGTGTTTATATGGGCATGCTCTGGTGTTTGTAATCTTGTGTGTATTTATGTGTTCATTGTGTGTGTGTGTGTGGATCATAGAGAAGATTCTTATTAGTGAGATGTAAGACAGAGAATGGGGAAGGAGTTAACTCTTATGACACTGATAAAAGAATAATCCCCTTTCTTACAGTGACCTCTGTTCTCTTAGCTCAATTTATTATTTTATGTGTTGTGGTTGCTTGTAGCAGACAAATGGATGTTATAGGCCTATCTATATTAACCCTGTAAAGCCTGACATATACATTTATAGCCAGAAAAAAAATATATAATTTTTTTTTTAATGGAACAGTTTATTGAACTTTTAGACAATGTTTAAAAAAAAAAAAAAAGTTTGCATATGTAATTTTGTTGTATATTATATTTGATAAATCAGGTTTTTATGGCTTGTATAGTATATAGGAGAATATGGAGCTCATACTTGAGGAGAGGAGAAAAACTGTCGATTCACAACATCAGATTTTCACACTTAGTTTAATTTGCCTGTAATATGTGACATTTAAAAATATAATGAAATAGTTTTCCAACATGACAAATATTCTGTTCACTTTTTTTTGTTTTCTTCACACATCATGTCTAATTATTTCATCTCAAACTCTTCATTGGCATCATTATCTCCTTGGTAACCAAGTACACAAATGTCTGGGGGAAAAAAATTATTAATGGCTAAATGGCACAACCTAGGGACAATTATAAAATATGAAATCATCATAAACTATTTCAATGGGCCTATTTATACTTGGCCACTTCAAGCTATTTCTTTGAACGGATGGATATCTGATCATGAAAAGAACGGGTGTAAATGCCCTCCGAAATGTATTCAAGATGGATTGCAATCTGATTACACAAACCACTTCAGCAGGTTTGAGACTCATTCCAGATGCAACTGGACAAGTGTAAATGCGTCTGGTTGTTGATGCCACATATATAAATTTTACTCCTCCCAAAATGACCAAAAATAAAGGTATGAGAGTGTGCTGCTTCTGGTAGCCAGATCTCCACAGATATGGCGTGTTGAAAAACTCACTTCAGCAAGCATGTGCAAACTGATGCAAATAAAACACACCGTTTCGCAATTTGCATCTTCGCATGTTCATCACACAGTCATATTCATTAAAAATGGAGAACACTACATTCTATCATCAGTGCAGATGGCGCTCTCTCACTGTTGCAGTCTTTGATCTTAAAATCAGCTGATGACGAATAAAATGCAGTGCATATCTGTTGCTTTCAATGATGTGAACTGTTGAATTTGCATATAGTGCAGGAAAAGATCAGCTTTATATTTGTTTTGCGGAGACACATTTATGTGTAAATGGGACAGTTTTAACAAATCAAATAGCTATCTGATCTGAGAAAACGCATGAAGTGACAAGTGTAA